CTGGAATGGCCATGTCTGGATTCTTAGCAGTCCTTGGCCAGTCATGGCCAGCCTGACAATGACCAACCTGAGATTCGAACGTTGGACGTTAAGCCACGGAACCTCGGGTCCGTCGTCTTGTCGATTGCGATCAGGATATACACAGTAGATGTTCTACTTCATTAAATTTTGAACAAAATTCCTTACTATTTTCGATTTGAAGGTATTTTTAAGTATGGCATTAATGTTAATTATAACGCTGCAGAAGGCAAAAACAGTTCTTTTACGGGAGGTGGCCAGCTTTTGAAAGAGCTGCCTTCCAGTCGCCAGCAAAAAAGTACACCTTGTCGGTAATGTCACTATGCCTATATTACTTTATAATATCCATATATATATATTTAAGCATCCTACTGTTACGGGCCCGCTTAAGTGCACGCTGCAAAAGGCCTGAAGTGGTCATGCATATGGCCAAAGACATACGCGCAAGTAAAAAGCGCCTATGATTGGCGTAAAAATTAAATGGATTAAAAAACAGCTGGTCATTAGAATACGAAATTACTAGGTCCTAAATGTACAAATAGTTCTATAAGTGCTTGGGAGAAGTCTTTTGGTAGCAAATTATGGAGATAGCGAATTCACACATAAGCTGTCCTTATGTAAATACAAGTCAGACCACGTCAGCAAGTTAACAAACTCTATAAAATTGTCAAGAGTAGCTACAGTTCAACTGAATGCCTATTTGTACCTTCCAAACCCCTCTTACCTTTTGGTCAGAAATTATTGCAGAAAAATTGTGCCTTAGGCAACCCCTATATGTACTACTGAGTATATGTTGGCAATTTAATGAATACTGTACGCTTTTCTCATTGTGGCTAATATAAGTCAGTCCAAATATTCATATTGCCTTACAGTCTACGCCTATAAAGCCCGGGATAGACTGAGTTACTGCGAGGTAGCCATTAATTTCTGAGGAATTTTGAGAGCAACAATGCCAACGGGATCAGAAAAAAATGTAAGATGCTCGGTAAACGGGCCAACCAACAGTGGCCCTCAAAATCAGTAGTTTTATGGAGTAGGTTCGTACTCAGGACCATAAACAGCAGCTATTTATTCGAAAGAATAAATAGCTGGAGATTATTTCTTGGTGAATACATGACAGATACATAAAATCTTACCTTGGATACGTTTCTTCCGCTGATCTCAAGGGAAATTTTCGACGCAGATTCGGGCGTTTTTCCAATAAGGATGAGACCGGAAGTCATTCTGCAGCAGATAAGCCATACAGGGGATCAACTAAAATTTGCCAGTCGTGAAGGTACTCTCTGGAAAATAATCTCTTTTCATGAAAGAATTCAAGCTCGAGAACTTTTAACCTTATTTTACGGACTACTTTCATCTGAGTCG